GGATTTCGAAGAGGACCCCAGGTGGTCTTAGATAACAACATTGCACGTCAACGTTATCTCATAACATGTTTTATTTTTTCGAAATCTTGTAGCAACAAGATGATTAGTAAATAAATAAATATTTCCAACATTCACACAATTTGCTTAGCCCCAAAGTCAGCACTGTAGGCTTGCCTTATGATATACTAGGTATACGGTAACGGATAGAATGCAAATACTGATATATATAAGTAAATTTATATAAAAATACATATTTAACATCCATGACTGGAGTAAAAATGCTCGTATTCATCACACAAACATCTGCCCTCACCGGGATTCGAACCAGGGACAACTCGAATAAGCGACACCTTCAAACCCAGCGTACATACCAATCGGCTACAGAGGTGAATGAACGGTACATGAATGAACTTAATATGGAATGAAATGTCAGAAATTACAGATAATTTATGAGAATGCGAAAAATGGTAACTAATATAATAATGAGTGAATAAGTTATTCAAGGATTCACGAAATGAGATACGGTTTTGATGTTTCATATGTAGGTACTATTTTTAATCCTCTTGTATTCGTGACTTCCTCTTCTTAAACACCTTTTCTCCATGCGAGTTTTCGTGCCTATTTTACACTTTAAACTTTGCTTAATATTTTGATTATAAATATATTATGCGCATAGTCAAAATGAAAATTAATCAGTTTAGAGGAACATTGAACATGAAAACTTAGCAGTAAGTCTGTCAGAGCTATTTTCGCATTTATAAGATCTATAGATGGCAAACGACAAGATAAGTCTACTGCTGATGAATGGTCGCTGCCCGGCTAAACGCTGCCCATGGAGACGTACGACATAAAGTGAGGTGACAAAATGCTTTAAAACGCTTGCCCTAATACACACTGATTTTAAATGACCCTTTTCAAAAAATCTTCAGAGATCCTTGGGAGAGGCCTATGCTCAGCAGAGTGCGTCGCACGGCAGACACATCATCATGTTTATGATGATAATGATAATGATGATTTCAAAAAGGTGACAATCTCAAAATATATTATTTGTTTCTTAGGTTTTCACGCACATCACTCATTAAATAAAACTAGTTTTTACGGGTTAATGCACGAAACTTTATTTATTTATTGACGTTTCGTAGCCTTTACAGGCTTCGTCGTCAGAATAAAACTTTTATTTAATTTGTCGAGCTACCTTCGAAAGACTTTTATTGAGCACACAAACATGACTTTTGATATTATTTTTAAAGTAATTAAGTCGAAGTATCGCAGCATAATAAGTCATGAAAATTCAGTGTTTATTAAAGCAAATGTGACAAGGTTTTTGAACAAAATGTCTTAATTATCACGTTTTTTATAAATAGCATTGGACGAATTAGTATTTTAAGTCGTACAGCTAAAACCTTAAGTGCCTTTGATATAAAATTTTGTACCTAATAATTTTATGTCCTTGAATGTGAACTTAGCATTGACCGTGATTTATTAGGCGAAGATGAGAATCCGGGTACCCACCTACCCTCTGACCTAATAGTCATTACGGTACAGCAAAAAGCCAGACGTGCAAAAAGTATATATCATTACGTTAATTTTAAAATATTGTTATGTAACACCTTTATTGATTGATTTCTTTTTTGTAATTGGCAGATTAGTGATCATTTATTTTTTTGAGACATGATAATTACTTTGGACATCTGGTCATTAATCATTTTATTCGTAACCAAACGCCATCTAGCGATTATACGCAACACTACTTTGTATTACTTGCTTAAGCTAAGCTTTCAAAGGTAAATGGTATCGATTAGGCAATCACGGTCACATAAGATTTTACCATCTAACTTTTATTAAGGATGGATAGATGGAGTTTTTGAAGTTATACTCGAGTTCGAAGTAATTTTTGACCTATTATCCAAACCTGCTTATAATTATTTTTGGTTTTCACTACCCGAAAAACATTAAAAAAAATTGGTTGTTTGTTATTCATTCGCGCTAAAACTACTGGGCTGAATTAGTTCATAGGCACACAGAAAGTGCCTCATGACACGTATATACATAAGTAACAATATTTTTATTTTATAGCATTTAACTTCTAGGTGTTTTAATGAAATTTATACAGTTTAAAAAAATGGAGAAATATCACTGAAGAACAAATAGTATGATATTTATAACTAAAAACTATAAAATATATAATAACTAAAATACATTATTAAAAGGAGTCCCTTTAGGCAAGGTTCCAAATATACTGGCAGCGTTCCCCCTTTGAATAGCTAGACTAATTCTTTGTCCGAGGTAGCTGCCAGCTCTTCGGTCTCCTGTGATGTCGACCAACCTTTTTGCTATTTCTTTAAAAAGCCATACAGCGCTAGGACCCCACGGACCAAGGGTATCGACACCGAATGGGACAAAATCATATTCGGAGCCTAGACCAATTGTTGACATGAGTGACTTTAGCAAAACATAAATACTTTAATTCTTTTTCAACATTTATCTACGCACTGCTGGGTAAAATTCTCCTCCACGGTGCGCCAATTAACTCGATGTTGCACTATCCGAATCCAGTTTCTTCCTGCTACTTTGTTGATGTCATCGGACCATCTGGCGGGCTGCCTACCTACGTTTTTGAGTCCTGTTCTGCACAGTGGGTCACCACTCCACAATAGCTCGACTTCACCTGTCGTCTGTCCTGTGAGCCACGTGATCTGCCCACCTCCACTTCTTCCCTGCGAGTTTGCGAGCAATGTCGGGTAGTTTTGTCCTCTATGCATACACAGTCTCACAGGGTTATACCATGCATTCGGGAGCCAGTGGCTCGACGTGGGAGACGTCGAGTTGCATTGCACCGGTCTTGTGATGGGTGGTGCCCCTTTTTCTCCGGGGCACCGCGTATCGGGGGCAGGCCGGAAACGGACAATCACCTTGCGGTTGCGCGCCAGTTGGAAACAGGTGGAAGAAGACCCGCACTCCTTAAGTGCCGCACTAACACCAGCTAGGACCGCGGTCCCCGCAATGCGAGTCGGGTGACATAGTGCAGGAGTATTGTTTGGTTTTTGCCGCTCTGGTAGGGCCCTGTCCATTTCATCGAGCTTCAAAGTTGGGTAAGTATGTTTACTTGCAATTATTTCAGAATGCACAGAAACGAAGTGAAAAGCGAAGGATCACTAGTCTTTAAGTAAAATATTCGCCTTTCCGAAGTGTATGTAATGAAACTCATCCTAAACATTAATTTAAGCGTATCTGTCCTTGGACGGTTTAGATTCACAAGTGAAGTGTAACCATTGTACTTAATACCTTGATGAAATCAGATCAAATATTTATTTTCAAAAACAAGTGATGCAAAAGTGTTACCTTTTACAGGTTTGGCAGATCATTAAAGATTCAGCTTGAGAGTAAAATAAATATATAGAATATTTAAATCTCCACGACGACGCCACGTTTGGCACTAGTTCGATTCAAGGAGTTATCCGGCTACAATAGTCAATTTACGAATAGCCCCAATCCCGTTAGTAGTATTTTAACAACAAATTGTTAGTAACAGTGCACTTATAAATCTTGCAGTTGGAATATTCTTTAGTATTCTCTCGCAACGGTATGCGAGACGAAGGTAAAGAGAGAGAGAGAGAGAGAGAGAACCATTTTATTGACCAATAAAACACATAAATAAAAAGTAAGCATTACACACATTTATAAACCTAATAGCCATCATATTGGTCAATCAGGACACTGCCTCAGCATAATGCTGCCGTGACATGTAACTAAACGTGTCTCGACAACTCTGGTATTCTGACAGGGCCTGTATGGTGTACGGTGTTTCGGTATAATAATATAATAAATTTTATAAAGAATACCAATAGATTTATAATTAGATAAATAGTGCTAAGTGCAAAAATGAACAGAATCTAAAAAAGGTAAAGATTTATAGCTCTTCATTTACATATGTGTATTCAATTATGGTATTATCAGATTTAATTTAATTAGGTATTTAATTTTCAATAACTGTGCATAAACGGATCAGCAAAACGGTTTCTGTATATTCTTAAATTATTTCAACAATGTTACATTTGCTCGTTTCATAATCTTTAATAATGTTACAATTATAGCTATAATGTAGTGTTTGAAATATACTCATCAAAAACCACATGTTGTATGGTTTTGTAATATATTTATACTATATTATTATAAACACAATCTAAAAGTTTTTATTTTAAAAATTAGTCAACTATATTTTCGAGAGCAATAAAGATTACATACCTGTCTACTTAACTAAGAAAAGAAAATAACATCCATTAATAAAACATACAGTTTCTGTAAATGATGCATGTTGCTAAGACTTTCTTGATGTGTGTATTATCTATCAGTAATATTGTTTGCGTTGTTATTTATTTCGTTATGTAACAATTCTAAATTATCTATGACTTTATTTACACTTTATTTAATAGATTTCACTAAAACCCATTTTATATATTGAAACGCCATTAATTTTGTTTTTAAAATTTACTTATTTATCGAGAATTATGTATTTTATTTTTAATTTTAAACTGTTTTCCAGTAAAATGACAATAATTTATCTTAAAACAAGCTTGTACCAGATGTAGCGTCGTGCATCATAGAGGTTTAATTTCAGAATCATGACTGGCTTAGTTACGGCAAGTGATGTTTACACCCACCCCTTTATGAATAAACGAAGAATAACCTTGGATTACTTACTCCATATTTTGTCTCTGTTCATTGAATAACAAATGTAATTTTTGAGTGATATGAACAATAGACGTCGAAGGTAACTAGTCCAAGCTTGTTTAAGAGGCATGTGACTGGATCGACATGACTTTCAAGCTTAGAAAATGACCAATAGAGGTATTTTATATCTACTATACGATTACTATTAGTATAAGTGTAATCTCTTTTGATCATTAGAAACTTAAATCAATAATTAATTACTTAAATTGAAAAACATTTTTTTTTCTTTTTTAACAATGCAAATAGAAGATAAATAAAAGTAGGTAATGTTCATATAAGTAGATTTTTTTATTATTTTTTCAATGCTGCTGATATAAACTTTGTATAAATTAAAATAAATTACGTAATATACTTTAGTGTTCGTCAGTAATAATATCCAAGCTTAGGGTCGAACCTTTGTTGTTGCTTAGGCCCACTGAAGTCTTCTCCTATGATTCGCTCAGTGGATGTCCGATAACCTTGGTTCACTTGGTCTTGACCAGAACCTGGTTTATTGATTTCAACACCGTTCGGTCTATATTTGTATCTAGTATCCTGTTCATATACCGGTAAACTTCCATCTACTGCTGGAGAGTATTGTTGACTTTGTTGTTCAAAATTTACAGAAGGTCGCCTGACATCATCAAATTGAGATATTGGTCGCCGAGAAGGTGTTTGTTCTACGCCTGAGATAGTATAGCCTGGTCGATAAGTGGTACTTGGTAAACTTCCATCTACTGCCGGAGTGTATTGTTGACCTTGTTGTTCAAAGTTAACAGAAGGCCTTCTAAGATCGTCGAATTGAGATGTTGGTCGTCCAGAAGGTGTTTGTTCTACGCCTGAGATAGTATAGCCTGGTTGATAAGTGGTGCTCGGTAAACTTCCATCTACTGCTGGAGTGTATTGTTGACCTTGCTGTTCAAAGTTTACAGAAGGCCTTCTGAGATCATCGATTTGAGATATTGGCCATCTAGAAGGCGTTTGTTTTGCGCCTGAGATAGTATATCCTGGTCGGTAAGTGGTGCTCGGTAAATTTTCAGGTGTTCCTGGAGTGTATTGTTGACCTTGTTGCTCATAGTTTACCGCAGGTCTTCTGACACCGTCGATTGGAGATATTGGTCGCCTAGAAGACGTTTGTTCTACGCCCGAGATAGAATAGCCGGGTCGGTATGTGGTGCTAGGTAGATTACCGTAAATATTTCCGGGGACATTAGATTCTGTTTGAACGGTAGGACGAGCAGCGGGTGAACCCGACGTGCTTATTGCCTCGGAATATTGATATTCAGGAGTTGTTGCTTGAGTTGGACTGTGGGTAGTGTAATATTCACCTGTAGTAGATCCTCCGGGGTAAGGCTTGCCGAAATCTGAATCAGAGTGAGGCACTGAAGTTGAAGGATTTATACCTTTGTTTCCAATTATTCTTTGGCCATCAATGTCTTCTGTGTAGTATCCGTTGCTTTGACTAGGATTTGAGATGACTTTCGCTGGAGTATCATAATACGTAGGTCTTTGAGAGGCCGAAATAGGTGTTGTTGAGTAGGTTTCATAAGGTGTTTGGGTGCTCGAATCTTGTCCGTTATAGATTTCCTGGAAAGCTTGCGGAGATCCTTGAGAGGTAGTTTTAAAAGGAGATGGAGTGGAATATTGTTTTTCGTACTGTGTTATTCTAGAGTTTGGTGATGAATATTGGTTAGAAGGTAGATTTGATGGTCTATTACTATAAATGGCGTCGCCGCTGTAAGTTTGGCCAGGAGTTGTGTATTTTTCATAATTATCTCCTCTTAGTTTTCCATTATACTGATTTGGAAGTCTTTCATTTTCTGCCACATTTTCTTCATTATAATCATTTTCGGAATTATCAATTCCAACTCGTGACACATTGGGAGTCAAAAAAGGTTTGGCAGTTGAATCTTTGCTTTCTTGTATCAGTTTCTGAGACGGCCTCCTTGTCGTAGAATAAGATTCAGTTATCGGGTACCGAGTGGAAAATTTATTTCCTTCGTCATAATTAAACCTGTTTCTGGGTGGAATATATTGGTAGCCCGTGTTATTTGCAAGCTTTTTATTTTCTACACTTTGGCTTGGTTTTCCTTTAAGTTTCTGGCCATATTGAACATTTTCATATTCCTTTCCACGTTCACTTTGCGGTGATACTTGAGGTTTTCGTATTCTATCGCGAGATTGGGGAAGTTTCTTCGTTGCATATGTTTGTGGTCTATTGGTTATTGTTGGTTGAATATCTTGGGATTTTAAATCAACTGATGAATCATAACCATCTTGTATCTTCTCATACACTGGTGTTGTATCCAAGTTATCATTAATTTCGTCATAATTTTCTGTATCATACTCACTACTTATATCATCAATGGATCCCTGATTGTATTCAGGAATATTTTCATCTACTATTAAACCTGGTCGTGAAGGGCGTCGCTTCGTGGATATGGTCTGCTCGAAGTTCGTTTTCATTGTTGGCCTAATAACTCCGCCAGGCTTAAATCTTGAAGGAATCACGGTTGAAGATTGGTAGTCTTCGGTAGAAGAAGGCATAGCATTAATTTTGTTTGATGGATGTTTTGAAAAGAGCCTATTGTTCTTATCAACGATGCTAAATTGCTCGTCTTCATTTTTGTATGATGGTTGAGGGGTTCCAAATTTTACGTTGTTAAGTCCAGTTGCAGGCCGAGGGGGATATTTGTAGTCTGGTTGTCTTTGTTCCTCAAGTTCATATCGAGTATTAATATTATCGTTTCTCATTCCAGTAACAGGTCGTCTTACAATTTGTTGTACACCGCTATCGTCTTTATTTTTATAATGATTTAAATCTGGCTTCTGGAACCGATCCACTCCATTTGATTTAGTCTTCTGTTCTTGTGATGAAGGATATCTCGGCGATTCTTCATTTTCTGTTCTAGGAAACTGGTTATTTTCGAAGGGACGTTGTCTAATAGCATTTTGGATATTTTTGTCTTTATATAACTGTTCGTTTTGTTTATTACCTATTTTGTAATGTGGGCGTTGGTTTCCTGGTGTTAATATATTTTTATTATTTGGTCTTATTATTACATCGCCAACTAACCGATCTTCTTCGTATTCTTCTTGAGGCTTATCATAGTATTTAAAATCATCGACAGATTCTGATTCACCTGATGGAGCTTTATTTGAACCTTGATGAGCCTTTGTCAATGATTTTGTTGCTGATCCATGTAGACTTGGATATTTGTGTTCCTCTTTTGGAATATTCGAACCACTCACATCACCATATTTAGTTATTCTGTCTGAGGGTACGGGACGTTGTTTAACAGATCCTTGATAGGTCTTGTAACCATACCTATCTTCATCGTAAGATCCTGAAAAGTAAGTAATTTTTTTATTATTTTTAGTTAGAATAATGGCTTTAATTGAATATTGATATATGTTGAAAAATCTTACCATCGTGAATTATTCCAGCTTCCTTTTCTCGATTTGCTTTTTCTATGAGTCTTTGTATGGCCTCAGGTATTGGTGGAGGCGTTGGTAAATGATCTCCATGAGGTTGGAAACCATTTTCATCAGCAGTGTAGACAATAGAATAAACTTTGCCATCATCCCCAGTATATGAGTAAGATCCCTCAGCTTTAACTCCATCAATAGCTGTACCATTTTCATCCATATGTATTCCATTAGATGTATCAAATGAGTACTCAAATCCTTCAGGCGTTACAACGTTTTTATAATTGAGAATTACAGCATTTCTGTCTGCCTCAGCTTGGAGTCTTTCAGGTCTTTGGTCATATTTAGTGATTCCTGATGAAACCAATCCACTTGTCGGAATTTGTTTATTAACAAAACCTTGTGTAGAAATTGTAGAGGGTATATTCGGAAATTGTTCATATTGTTTAGATAAGTCATTAACATTTGAACCATAGTTTCCAGGATATTGTTGTCGAGAAACTTGACCATCTAAAGGTGAAAATTGATTTTGATTTGATTGAAATCTACCATCAGGTTGATAAGTATTAAGTGATTGATTAAATTTATTAGGTATATCCGGGCTCAAAGTTGTAAAATCTCGCACATTGTTAGTGTTACGATCATTGGTGACAACAGGTAATGACCCCTGTGATACTGTAGTGGAAGGAATTACACTTGGCTGTCTGCTATAGCCTCCTATAACACTTTGGTTTCTAGGATACTGTGCTTGTTCGAATGGAACTCGGGTTACGAAACCTGGCCTCTTTTCTGAATTAGGCTGTTGAAAGCCTTCTTGGGTTTGGTATTCTTCTGGTTGGTTTTGCTTAACATAAATCTGTCCATTTCCATATGGTATTTTAGATCCAGGTATTTGCGGCACCACACCAGATTTTGGTTGTTGGTCATTAATAATGTTAACTGTTTGCTGGTTACCAGGTAAGTTGGGGCGGAATTGATTATTATTTACACGATTCCCCTGGCCAAGTTCTCCAGAAGGGATATTAAAAGTAGACGTAATCGGTAGTCCTGTTATGGGATCAATTGGGCTAAGCGTGGCCTCAAAATTTTCCGAAGGTGGATGAGTAGTTGTTTGGGTGAAAGCATATGATACAGTGGTGGTAGGAACCTTATAAGGATTTCTGAAGTTATTGAGTGACTCTTTTGATCTTTGCGGTATATAATTGTCTGGGACTTGTGATGGAATACCTCTATTAATACCGATTGTGGCCTTGTAGTCATCAGGACTTGGTACATTTTGGCCAGAATGTACAGCTTGTGGTCGTAACGTGGTTGAATATGAGTCTTTGGGATATTCCAAAGGCGTCTGAATATCTCCAGGTCTTCCACCAGAATATTGCGATCCTGGAGGCGGAAGATACGTCAAATCCAGTTTATCCGAGCTTGCATAGCTCAGTAACAGAAGAATCTGAAAAGAAAGACACATCAGTTTCACTTTCACTTTAATGAATTGAATTCACGTATGACTTTTGTATTAAACTGTTGTCACGGTCACTTTCGTTTGATTATTCATTTTCACTGTACACTGTGTATCACAAAAAATATAAAACTGATACCGACCAGTAATCCTTTCATCTCGGATGATGTTTCCAACTGAGGATTCACATGAGATGTGTGATCATCCAAAACGAAAAATGTTATTTATACCATGTTTAAAATTATCGTCTAATAACTATTCGGGCATACGCACGGACGTGACAAGCGTCCCGCGTGACAAACCCCTAATTGTTGCTGTCAAATGCTCGAACAAGTTATTAAGAGTGTTTATTTTTATTATTTCATCATGTTATGGTCCACGATTGATCATGAGATGGAAATCATAGAACCTTGACATTTGTTCGGCCGGCAGTGTACGATTAATGGTGACAAACTCGAGAAATTAAGTTCCATGGTGACATAATGACTGAAAGACGATGATAGTCTGCATTGACTAGACGATCTAATGTTAGTTTTAGCAAGTGAAAACCTATATAAGTGTGGTTTAGGATATCTAACTTTGTGCTGATAACACTCATAGGCTAATACCGTAATCTTTTCTCACTGGACATCTTGTATAAAAATATTATCTATATATAAAGACTGAATGCTGGAAAAAAACATACACGAAAAATACTCAAATTTGCACTACTCGGGTTTTGGTTCGACGCTTTATTAGTAAAAATAGTCCTTTTTTTAGTTGTTTTTTACTACTCCTTCAATGGGGTCACATTGGTGATCAAGGTCTGGGTACGATATTTCATTCATAGGGAAGATCTATACCAGTATCCCAGAAGTAATACTGCCTTTTATCCCAAGCCTCTATAAGCTATGCCATTCGCCTTTTTTGTCATGGTAAAATAACTATATTAATTATGCTTGTTTGCTTCACAAAACAGAAACGCAGTTTGTTTGTCTGACTGGACCTAGTTACCACAGAGCTCCGGCAATCTCTCACATTACAGAAAAGTATTATTAGTTTCAAATCTATGTAGAACTTCTCTGTATTTCATGCTGTATTTCTTTAAGAAATCTTCCACAGGAAGTTAATTCTCTCATTCAACAGCATACTTAATCGTATGCAGAAGGAAATTCCTGTGAAAAAGTACAGTACGACATTTTCGTATCATAATTTTTAAATTACCACAGGTCTCAAGAAAAACTACATTAGCTTAATTTTTTCATGATTATGAATTTAAAAGAATCATGAAAATCATGAAGTTCATGATTCTTTTGCTTACAAGGTGCACAAACTTCTCATCTAATGCTAAGTATAGTTAAAATAAACATACCTATTATGATTTTTATCCACCATCAACGGACTTTGTTACATTTCTGTTTGTAAGTTTCCTGTGTTCTGAGAGCTAAGAAATTGGATTCAGGCCAGCAAGGTGGTATATTTTTGACCCGAGTCAGCTACCTATCTTCGCGCCTGGACTTCATTTACACTTAACACCAGTAGAAGGGGTAATAGGTACTTTTCGTTTTATTCCGAGTCAACGTCATTGAATCATAAACAGAAGCACTGTAGCTGAGCTGTCCCAGGTGGAGGAATTCGAATTTGCGACAAAACGTCATCGTCGAGACAGAAAATTGCTGACATTTCGAAGAGTGCCATCCTCCTCTAGCGTCTGACACAAAGGTCACAAAGACCACGACCACAATCATGGATATCGGCCGATAGGTGATCGGCATTGTTTTTTTTATGTAATTACTTTTTTGAGGTCCGTGAACTGTGATCTTTTAAAGGTAAGACCTTCCATGAATGTTTAATATTTATTTATAGCTTTTTTTATGTACAATTTGAAATACTAAAAAACTATTAAACTTTCTATTAAGGGTTTCAATGTGTTTCTGCAAAAGACTATAAAATGATCAGTATGATAATTAAATACCTTTAAATATATCAGTTTATTTTTTAAATTGTCTTAAATTAAAGCAATGTAGTACTTAAAATTGAATTGATTTATACTGATGTTACCTAAACAAAGGTTAACTTTACTTGTTTTTAGAAAAGTACTGATCTGATTAAGAAAATAAATGAATTTGCATTGCAAATCAGTAATTTTTGTCACTTTTTGGAATCACACACATTGGTGAAAGCACCACTAGAAATTTTCATTGTCATTATTTTTAGTCAATCAGTACGTACGTGTATATGAATAATTGCATCCTTTCAAATTAGTGTGTTTAGAATTACTTTACTTTTTGTACGATAGATGGCAGGAATGGTTCACTGAATCACGTTACCATTTTGTTTTGTTCGAAATATAAGTACCTATGTTATATTAAAGCAATAAACGCTCTCTCGCTATTTAAAATTGGAACAGGTATTTAATTCTTTAGTTAGTTCCACCTCCTTTTTGGGACACTAAACAAGTAATGAAATTAATTTTGTGCATCTATATTTTGTCACCTGTTTAAATAAAACAAGTTTTTTGTTTGCACCACTTCGCCTTAACAGCTTTATGAATGAAATGACTCGTGATTTCGTTATTTATAAAAGAACAAAGCACTTAGTGCGCGAGATTATTCTCAACCCACGCTTCTATCAACTGTGTCATCTTCTATCTAGGGTTATTTAAATATTTCCTGAAGATTTTTTTTTAATATTATCAAATTTCTTGCGATAGCTAATAACAATAATAGTAGATTTAGAGTTCCTAAAATTGTATCGCTATCTCTTTGAAACATCTTTTTTTAATTTAATTTTCATTATCTGTAGAGTAAAGGTACGTAATGTTATAAGTTTTATTAGTTATCGGATCTCATAATAATTCTTTTTAACTAATCCATATTTTTGGGTTTATATATAAATATATTTATCAATATATTTGGGTAGCTTCGAGTTCTGTTTTTAAGGAAATGTGGAAAGTTTGTCACACAAACACGTGTTTTAAGCATAAATTAAAAGTATTTAATCAAACAATAACATCGTAACAGTCGTTTCAGTATTCATATCCGTTTCTAGCGCTGAAAGCTTGCTGCCTCCGTCTGAAGGGTGACGAACCTCTTTGGTTCACTGAAGGAGGTAAGTAAGCTTTATTGGCTCCTTGGTTGGGAGCTCCATTGTTGAAATTTCCTTGGCTGGAAGCGCCATTGTCGAAAGCACCCTGATTGGCGCCACCGTTAAAGCCTTGATTCCTGAAACCAGGTGATGCTGAGTTGCGGAACGCGGCAGAGTTGGTGACTACGGAGTCTTCGTCGCCCTGGACTTGGTTGTTGTAAACATTGTTGTTATAAGCGTTGTTGTTGTTGTAATTGTTAGAGTTGCCGTTGCTGTATTCGCCGGCGCCACCGTACTTAGCTTCGTTGTATGATCCTAAAAATAAAAATATGGAACTCTCAAGTATGTGTAGATATTATTATTTAGATAGTACAAAATTGTAGGCCGTTGTTTCTGTACTGGCACAATACAATAGCCTCATGGCTATTGTCATCATCTTGTGCGATCATCAAAATGCTGTTATTGGTAATAACATTTTAGACATAAATCAATTCCTAACATTGATAAAATTTGATTAAACAAAGACAAAGAAACGGTAATAAAAATGATTAATCAAGTATTGCTCAGCCTTAGTATCCATAATGAGAATAGAAAATGACATTGTAATTGAAAATTGAAATTATGTAGAATTTTAACTACCATAATGCTATAAGCATATAAAAAGACGAGAACGTGAATGTCAATAAAAATGTTATGGTGAAATGCCAAAATAGTAACAACAATAGTAAGCAACTTACAGCGGCGGTAAACAAAATATTAACACAAGAGCGGTTAAATAGAAGTAGTCTTTATATCTGAATTATTTTAAATAGATACAGATAATCGCGTAAGATAATCATGATATTTTTCAATTAAGTGCATTGAGAAACCGGTGTCATTTATTTTAGCCTATTTTAAAAGCTACGTACCGTCATCGTAGATTCCTGCTGCCTCATCACGGGCGTTTTGCTCCAGAGCCCTGAGGATCTCTTCGGGTACAGGAGGGGGGGTGGGCAGGTGCTCACCCTCGGGCACGAAGCCGTTCTGGTCAGCAGTGTACCTGGTCATGCATACGAAGTTGCCATGAGATGCTTTGAAGAGTGCAAAATAACGTTGGCTAACAAATTGATGCTAGGAGGAATGTTATTTGTAAACCACACTTCTATTGAGAAAATTACTAAAAACTATTGATAAGCTATGCTATGAGAGAAATAAAAATAAAGTCACAAATTGAATTCACAGCGCCAAAGTACGAGTACTTTATGAAGTATTATATTTAAAATCGGATACAAGGATGTCGTACATCTGGAGTTATATAAAAGATGGTTTACAAATCTCTCTAGTCAGGAATCAAACCCGATGATACAGAGAAGGTGACTTATCCTATCACTAGCAATAGCAAAATTGATTTCCACTATCAATGATCTAAAGCGCTAGGCACGCCGAAAATTTTTACTTATAAGGCTGTATGTGTCACTCTAAACTTTTAAGCTTTGCCAAAATACCGGCGCTGGTGTGACAAAATGTTGCAATAAACTAATGCTGAGGCTATTGTATAAAAAGGATCAATGACAAAAGTTTTTTCTTTCAATCGAAGTTCCAACTACCAAATTATTTGAAGCTTTTGTAAAGCATCAAAAGACCGAGAACCAATTTACCTGATACTGTAAACCTGGCCATCATCACCGGTATACGAGTATCCACCCTGAGCTTCAACACCGTTGGTAGCTACACCGCTCTCTTCAGCAGATATTCCATTTTCCGTTTCATAAGCGTAGGCGTAAGTCTCTCCATCATTCTGGTTATCCTGGCGAAGAATAGCTGCGTTCCTCTCGAAGGCAGCTTGGGCACGTTCAGGGCGACCTTCGAAGCCATCGTAACCGTTCACATTGTTGTAGGCACCGTTTCCAGCCTGGTCGAAACCGTTTTCGGACTGGGAATATCCGTTACCGCGCTGGGGAGCACCGTTTCCGCGTTGAGCAAAACCGTTACCGCGTTGGGTAAATCCGTTTTCGCGTTGGGGAAAACCGTTTTGGCCTTGGTACTCAGGAGCGGAAGGTCCAGAGGTTGGGGTTTGGATGAAGTTTCCTGATCCGCCGGCTGTTTGGGCAGTCCTTGGAGGTAAATAGGTTTTGTCCAGCTTCGCGGCGCTGGACCAAGAGATGGCTACTAATAGGATTAACTAAAAGAAGAAATACATATGATAATATTATTTATAATATCAAGACATTTTTAAATAAAATTGAATTAAAATACTGATTTATATTTATTGATTAATAAGCAGTGAAC